GTGTAAATCGGGAAATAAAAAAATCTTACCGAAACCTAGTCCGGAGGAAGTTCCGCCATGATACATATACATATATATTTTTACAAAATTACAAAATCCAAATTCACTCATTCCTACAACGTTTAACTTGATGCATAAATTACGCATAGAATACGATCTAGCGTAATCAGGATTAAGTAGACTATGCGTTTGCCTCGTCGCCTTTTAAAGAACAATCCTCTATCAATGATCATTTGTAAATCCATCGTATAACTTTTATCATTTTTTAATCTTGAATCATTAATTTTTGATTCAATTCTGCACAATCTCACCAAGTGAGTGTTATCACTGCGCGTTCTTCTATTGCCGTCATAGAACTAAGTTCATACGTTAATGGTGTTTTGTAAGATCTTCACGTTCATATTTCCGAGAAAAATCTAAATTCGTATTTCATACTTAGTTGCATAGCCTATGGTTTAATATCTGAATAATGAAATTATGTTGTAGCGTAGACAAGGTGAGTCCTACGAGAAATATATTTTGCCCCTCGTCGCGTTGTCCTTCCTGGCCACTGATACGTATAGCAATGCGCATAAACATAAGTGAATGTTAGATTTCATTTACAAGTGCGAAATTTCTCTATTAATTAACATTATGTTACCTACCGACACAAGTTGTTGGGTCACAGTCTGGAACGTATTTGGGATCATCGCATACTTTCAGGTCATTGTTCCAAACGGTTCCTCCCATGCATGCACCCTGGAAACCTGTCTTATTCAGTCTTGCAGCATCGCAAACGACGAAAGCACAGCAATCCAAACCATTATCGATACCGGGAAGGTAACCATTTTCATCGATACACACCTCTAAGAAATGAATCAACATAAATATTACATAAAGTGGGTAGACTATACAGAATTTTTAAGACTGCTCTGATTTATAGCCAAGTTTCACGTCATAATCGATTTCAATAAAATTCGAATACAGTACATACATTGACCGTCATTACTCCAAAGTAACAATGGTGATAAAGATATGTAGGCATAATGCATCAGTTATGTGACTTGGTCGTAAAATGTCCGATTGTTCTTTCCTCAAAAATTCGGCTTCAAAATAGATGTTACCATCAATCATTTCACCTCTTGACAATTTACTGCCATTTTGAATAGTTAGCTAAAGTGATGGCTTTATCAAGACAAAATAGCCATTTTTTCTCAAAAATAGTACCTAAGATCAACATGATATAAAAATAGTAGAGGTGTGTTTGCACGTTTGCCACAATGGGAGAGACCAAAAGTAACACATAAAGCGAGGTAAGTCGTACGAGTTATATACATAATAAGCAAAATACGTTTCCAAATTATGACCTTATGCACATAAGAACAATATGCACTCTACTATACCTTGCATTTGGCTTTCATGAGCAACCCATTTGGCTTATTAGTTATGATTATATATTTGTTTTTATTTGTCTGTTCCTTATTAATGGTTTATCGGTTGAAAGTTAGATGTTGATAAGGTACTTTCAAAAATATATTAAACAATCCAATTAGACAAACAAAGTATCTTATGCATTTCTAGGTGTTAGGTATAGTAGTGTGAATATGCATTATCCCCTTTGTCCCCATCCTCTGAATCAAGTTTACAAGTCAAAACAGCAAGACCACAGTTTAAAAAAACGATATCCAATACTGCTGACATCGACAAGAGACACTGGAACTCTTACATAGAATATTAAGTCCGAATGGATTAGAGCCAGATAAAATCAAGATATTGTATTATGATGAGTTCTTCAAATGTTAAATCTTATTGCACTTCTAATCTCATGTATTTAGCTGACAATTTTTTTAAAAAAAGAATCTACTACTCCTTACGTGTGTCTGTGATGGTAATTGGTGGGCCACTGGCCAATGCTGATGCGAAGAGAAGAACCAATGGCAACATGATCTGGAAGAAAAATATATAGATATGCATAGCCCCCAGCTGTAAAAATGAATTTCAAACGAATGATTAAAAGTAATTATATTTTATGACACGAAAATACAAATGCAAATAAAGGCTGTCGGTTACCGGATTAACTTACTCTTTTCCTGGCAAACTCATTTAGATATGAATAGAATAGTGGCTGGTACTATTCATATTCAAATGAGTTGGTCATACATATAGGTTAAGCCGGTAGCCGACAGCCGAAAGTTGCATTTGCGAATACAAGGTTAGTACAAACCAGGATTAGTATCACAAATTGGGTATATAATGTCATTAAATATAATACGGTATATAAGAGTGACTCCAAAACCACTCCCACACCCCTCATCAAAGATTTCTCCGAGATGATGCTACATTTCAATCTGCCCAAGATAGAGCCCTTTGTGTGTTATCCCCTCCCCCTTCTTTCTTTCACCCTACCTTTCTAGCTCCGAATGAGTATAAATACAAATAATGAAATGAGTTGTAATTGATAACTTGTTAAAGCAAAATAAAATGGACCACGAACAGACCAAATAGATCATGAAATAATGTTGTGTTAGTCTCGTTTTATTTTGCATCGTAGAATCAGAATTTCGAAGGTGAAATACTATACATTGGGTCCAGCATTTCAACTATTGTATTGTATTGTATTGCATGTATCCGATTATATTATATTGTTGGATTATCTCGAATTTTACTATGAGCCTACTGACTAGGAATTAAACTATTTTCGTAGTCATGATATGTTCATTATGTTTAAAATTGACTTTCTCAACCATAAAAAATGATTGGTGTTTGCTAAAACAGCAATTAATTGATGACAAGATTCATGACCATATCGAATTTTTACCAGCCCGTTAATAACACACAAAAACAATGTATATTCGCCGTGATCCTTTTATCTTGAATATGACTTACCTCGTACTGTGATTCTGTATGAATGTCTCTGTACAGAAAAAAGAGACTTATATATCTTCGATTGGACTTCCGGCTATCAATTAATTGTTTAAAAAACATCGATCTTGTCAATATATGACATGTATATCATAAACTTCATATGCAAGTGCCCCGCGTGTGAAATTTCTTCTCTCAAGCTAAATCAAGCTATACGTCTTTTATTTATTTCTATCTTCTTCAATTGGAAACATTTAAAATGTATTGACCACATACATTGTCGATTAGTTGTTGTTATCAACTGTTACTTATTTTTTAAAAACATGAAAAAATCAAAATTACATTGAGATTTCATTCGAGTACATATTTCTGGAAGTACAGATAGATACTCTACACATGTACAGATTGAAAAGGACATACCAGGATGAAGACTATAATACAAAAGTGCATATTGTTAAAATTTATATATCGATAAAAATGTACAAATTCAAAGAGAAACATATACTGATAGAAATGCAAAAAGATTCACAAAAATATAAAGATTTGTACAATTTGTTTTATTGTGTGTTTATTTTTTACATTTTGTTATCTAATTATAATGACAATGTCTGCATAGACATACAAAATAAACATGTATGTGAAACCGAGCCCACCTTGGAAGTTATTGCAAATATACAAACATGTTTTAACTGTATTTCGTCAAGTTATTGCAATTTTTATTCCATTGAAAATGACTTTTGACAGGGCGACTACTTTCAGCCTTATTCCACAATCAAATAATTTATATCTTATGTACAATCTCTATGAAACTCTCCACGAACACTTTACGACAAAACATTGACAAAACGATGAAGATCTAATACATATTATTATTATGCACCTCATTAAAATACTCAAATCTGATTGGTTCTTAGTTGCTTGTAATTTGGCAATACTCTGCTCTTTTCTGAAAACTGCCGGATATTTTTTTAATATCTGACCCTTTCGAGAAAAAGGGTCGGATATTTTTTTCAATGTTTTTGCAACATTCCCACTTCAGAGTTTTATTTCTTAATAACTGGAGTACTACTAGAGCTTACATCTGAAACTGGCGGAAATAGAAGAAAAAAATGCACTTAATCAATCACAATTACCCTTATCATTCAAAAGTTACATATAATTCTGCAAGAACGTCTCGAATATATAAAAATTAAATACCCGGGGCAAATATTTTCGTCCAGTGTAGCGAATAAACTGGCCGGAAGTCGTCTGAGTTTTGAAAGAAAAAATAAATAAATGTCAAAATAATGTCAACTAAACTGTAAGTACTCCACTTAACTTTGATTGGGAGGTGCATAATAAAACAAATACTGGATGATCAGGAGCTGGATATGGCCAGAATACCTATCCTCGAAAAAATATTGGGCTCGGCTGCCGCCTCGCCCAATATTTTTTTCTCGAATAGGTATTCTGCCATATCCAGCTCCTGATCATCCAGTATTTGTTTATTATGTGCCAAATTTAGTATGAAGGCATGTGTGTATTTCCTTGCTTTTTTCAGGAAAGCATCATTACATTGTTTACTTTTAGTTAACCTGGAAACGGTTCAATGGTAGCTCTTGTAGCTCCTGTGTTGTCTGGAAACTTTGAAAGAAAGTTTGGAAAAAAGCGTGGAATATCAGAATTTCTTGGAGTTTCCATTGAACACTTACCAGATATACTAAAAGAAGACAATATAATGATACTTTCCTGAAAAAGCAAGGAAATTAACACACGCCTTCACACTTTATTTTGTAGAAGAAAATAACATGTGCAGGTATAGCAAAATGTTATTTTCCAGCAGTAGGCTTATCTTAAGGAATTGGCTAATGTAGTTAAGATATTCACCAAATGAGCCTAATTATAATATTGGAATATTGAAATATAAGGACTGAAGGACTGAACGTTGAATCATGATACATTTCCAAGAAAACCATTTGTCCACCTCAGGAATTAGTTCGTGAGGAACGTACCTCACATTATTCCCTCGCACTCAAAAAATGAACACATCATCAAAACTCGGTGCGTGTATCAGTTTATCAGCGATGAATGGGAAGATTCTAACAGGTGTGGGTTAACACGACCCGCATTGAACAGTTGACATTTCTGAGAAATTGAATTTACTTTTCATTAAAGGTGTTATATTCGTACCTGGATACCAGGAACTACGGATGCAGTACCATCGAGCGGTGAGTATTTTAGAAAAGTAACATAATGTTAAGTCATTTTCTTTTTAATTATACATGTAGACTCGCGCATTCACGATGAAAGATGTTTCATAATTATTATACTGCATGTCGATATTTAAATGCTATCGTTTTCATCAAAATATTGGATTTTATATTCCGGAAAACCTTGATGTGAAATTTTGGACGTATCTTAGTGACTTAAATTGCACAAAGTACAAATGTTTTGTAAACGTAAATGTACATTTCCCTCCACAAGTATGATAACCGGAAATTATAATTTGATAGCATATTGAAACTCTGTCAATGTTTTCATTTTAATTGTGTTCCTTAGTTACAATAGTTTGGAGGTTTGTGACTTTGCTGAGTTTTTTTGATTCACCAAATATAGACGGGATTTCATTGGTGGTCGAATGGGGGGGGGGTCGACTGTCAACCTTATGGAGGGATATTAATGCGTAAGACATAAAAACACTGAAGTTACATGTAACTGTGTCTGGTGCTTTCGGGATTATTTTGCAATAATATTGTATCAGGTATGGACCAATTTGATAACAATATTAATATAATATTTATCTCCCCGCGAAAAACTTGGTCTTCGAGCAACTCAATATTCTGCCATATATGGAGATGTCGAAATTACAAAATTTGTGATTACTAACGGCTGCCATTTTGTTCACTTCGAAATTTGAATCGCGAGTTTTGGTGTTATTTCAAAACAAGAAACTCCAAAAACACACAAAATAGATACATACAAGTATATTGGTCGACATCGTTTTGATTGTTGATTGTTACGCGGTAAACACGATACAAAAATATGTCATATTCCGCAACGAATATGGCATACTCACTTGCGGTGTATGACAGATTCACCTGTGGTATATGGCATACACACTAACCATATTACTATATTGGCAATCCGGAGTAGTTTTACATTTAGAGTCGATTCTCGCAACCAATCAAATCAAGGCATTCTGTATCACGTTTTCACCTGCGGTATATGTCATATTCACCTGCGGTATATGGCATATTCCGCAAGTGAGTATGACATATTCCGCAGGTGAGTATCGGGTATTCACTGAAATCAATGTATCGCATATTCACTGCGGAATATCGCATACTCACCTGCGGAATATGCCATATACCGCAGGTAAGTATGGCATATTCACCCGTATCACAAATACCGCGCAACCATGAATGTATGCCATATACCGCGTATTATTGATTATGAATTTATATTCAGTTATAACGTCAGAAAATAACGACCTGGTTATAACATTTTTATTGTTTGAAAATATCGAGTTGCGTCCCTGGGAGCCAATCCCTCTTGGTCTTGGAGTCAATTCACTTGTAGTGTTCCCTCTCTATGAAGAACCGATTTGCATGTACTGCCTGAAATAAGATAAGATCACAACTCATGGAAGTATATTCTTATCTTAAAATAATTAGCAATCCTTACCCTCATTAGATACACTCCCCTCCATAAGTTTGGCAACCTTTTTCCCCCATTGAACTACGTGTTAAAGCCTCTCGACATTCCCATGTTAACCAATGGGAAATAGTAGGTTTGCCGCAAGTCATATGACAGAATATCGATCCATCCGAGTCCTTGCAAAAAATACGAGTTAGGCAGGCAATTGAATTTGCTAACTTTATTTAACAAAAAATTGATATGTTTCTTCAGGTTCAACAAAGTTATAGGGCAAAATAGTCAAAATTGTTTTCCAAAAAACCTCTCCCATTGAAATAACACAGGAGGCGAAAAATTCTTTTCAAAAATGACTTTGAAGCGCTGTAACTTTAATATTCATCAAATAAACTAAACACTTAGTGTTCAAAAAAGTTAGACAATTCAATTTTCTATATAAAAATATTTTTTGCTGAATCTTTTTCTGAAAAGATATCCTGATTTTTGATTTGCCCCGAACCCCCCATTTCCCATTGGATTACATGAGAATGACGATTTTCGAAAATTCATCAAATTTATCAACAATTTTCGACCTATTGTAATTGAGGAAAAAAAATGAGAAAATTTAGAGGTATCGGAAATAAAGTCAAGTTACGTTTCCATCAATGTTATAAGTTATTTCATCGCCGGTTAAGTAAATGAAAATTCAAACGTAAAGAAGCTTTAACACATAGTTCAATGGGGAAAAAAGGTTGCCAAACTTATGGAGGGGAGTGTAAGTTGTAAAGTATATTGTGATTGGTTTTGTGCATAACTTGTGAAAAAAACTATTTTTGGTAACTTGAAAACATTGATTTAGTTAATCTAAGTTGATAATTATTTGATCTTATTTGATTATAACTTGTAAAAGTTAATTTGTTGAAAATGGTTGGAAATAACAGCGTTATATTAATATTTGTTGGCCTTAATTTGGATATTGATGAGCTAGACCTATATTTATCAAAACGTGCTAAAACAATAGGATGCTGTAAAGTAGGTGAGACTGTATCTTAGGTAGCACCAATTTAATAAACGAAACAAATAAAGAATTAAAATGAGTTATATATTGTTTAAAATAGCATACGCGTACATTCATGCTTAATAACATCAGGCCTCTGAACTTTGTAAACACCATCTAAAATTTAAAATGTTGTTTACAGGAAGTAAAATTCATGGTTTTATCGTTGTAACCTCATTAAAAGAAAATACGCTTGCATATTCCTTATCTCTCGTTGTGCCCATTTTTCCTCATTTCTAAAGAAAATTAAATAAAACATAAAATGTTCTTATATTTTAACGCTTTTAAACACGGCTTACATACCGATTTATTTTATTCTTGGGTGAGTACGCTCGGTGTTTTCCTTTTCATAATAAACATATCAACGTTGGTATATATGAAACAAGGGTATAAGAGGACTGTCGCAATTTATCCAAAAAGTGAAGAAATCGTTTGACTGGAAAAATCCAATTATTTTACGAATTGAGGAACTCATGTTTACTATAAATAGTTTTACACGCTCAATTATTATGAAAGGCCAGACTAGAGATCACATTATGAGATTCACGAAAAACAAAACAGACTAGAAAGAAATAAGAGAAGTTAATTCACAATACAACAATAACTATAAGCTGCAGTATATAAAGGTATATGTTTTGTTCAACAGAATTAACAGAATCAATTTTACTATATTTTATTCCGGATAGGAGAATATTTTTAATATGCAATACTATTTTCCTTTTCAGTTTTTGTTTTGAACTTCAATACAAGTAGCCATGCAACCAACACGTCTTGGAGGACTTGTATGTCTGGTAGGCATCCTGTTATGCGTTACAATCGCCAAGGGTCAGGATGAAGACAATGGTAAGTTCCAATGAATCAGCAAATATCGCTTTATTAGAAGGATCTGCAAGTATCGTTGCCCGTGCCCGAGTTACACTCCCCGAAATACGTTTTGCAACCGAACGTCAAATTTTGGACCAATTGTGTTCGGTGATTTGCAATAAGCATCTTTTTAGTTAATTTCAAAAATATTGTAATTAAGATACACAATCAAGATTCAGAGTTCAGACATTGACAGGATTGTAATTCGACAAAAACGTCTCGTTGCAAAACTTATGGAGGGGAATGTATTTTTATTATTGGAAAATACACTTGCTTTTTACGGGCACATATTTGATATGGACGATGGATCACTGTACCAACCATGATTGTATGGAGGAATAGGCTGGTGGTCCATGACACTTTATAGGAGCATATACAGAATGCTGCCTGCTTTTGGCGTATTATGACAGTATATTAGGCCAATGTATTGGCGAATGCGTTTTAAACAAAATGACTTGTTGAATCAGTTGATGTGTGATTTGAACATGAATCGTAAGATAAATCAATTGATCCTGTAACCATTTGAAATGAACTTTTTTCCAAGATTATACATTGCCTCGAAAGGGTGTGCCTTAGCCTACTGCGTATTAAGTTAAAGATTTGGCGAAACGATCTGACGTAAGTCATGTATCGATTTTTTGTTGAATAAGATTGTTGAACAAGTTTGTTTATTCAAAATAATTTTTGTTTACCTGAAAAGGGTAAATAAATAAAATTCGAAATTACCCAATTTGTTTGTCTCAAGCACTTTTGAATACAATGCAGTTCTAAGTTGGATAACTTCCAGCTTGGAACAATGAGGCCTAGTAAGTTAGTTATTTTATTTCAGTTTGGTTGAAAATAATAAAACATTAAGGACTCAAGCCACTCCATTCCATTGTTCCGTTCTATGTATGAAAATAAGTATTCCAAAGGACATTTTTTCCATTCACTTTCTCACCCGAGCCAGGAGCATGAGGTTAACGTAAGAGTATGAGTGTACTAATAGGCAGAAATTTGACTCTTTTCAGATTTTCAAAATCTTTATGTTTTTAATTTTTGTAAGAGTATATCGCTTTTGTATTTGTTTCTCTAATCGTAACAAAGGTCCGTTCTTGGAAGCTTCGCAACTTACGTTTTGGTTCAATTACCCAAATGCGAGTAGGTAGTTACCAGTTTCACCACCAGGTGGCTGATTCGGGTCAATTAACATGGCAGGTATACAAGAAAGTTCCCTTAAACTTGAATATTATCAACTTAAGTGGCTCAACTTTCATATAACCCTTATGCGTCTGATACTTATACTAATGAAAATATGTCCAGTAAAGCAAAATATTATCTGTCCACTAAAAGAAAAGATATTTGATTTTTAGTGATTTTATAGCATGGGGTCTATGGGGAATCTCCCCGAGCTAGAAGTCACATTTTCAAAGAAAATTAATTTTTCAAAGTTGATTAACACTTTTTAAAACCACATTTCTAGATGTAATTTTAGATGTAGATTTCAAATATGATATTACTTTGACTGAATTTTGAATTTTTAATGACGTAAATCAAGATTATTTCTACTCGCATCTGGGTTATTACATTTCAGTTCAATTCAATGTATTGATTATTTCTAGTTTTCATACATATGCTATTTACAGAGACATGAAAAAGACACCCCTAGGGATGTATATAATGAATCGGTTTCAATTCATTGTGGTGATATATATATATGCGATCACATTAATTGTAAATCCAATATGTCCTAATAATGAATTCGAAATAAAACTATGAACTATTGCTCATCCTAAAATATATTTTCTTATAAGAATAGTAAGTTACAATCGTACCAAAAATGAGATTAAAAACTCGTGATAGATCAGGTGGTTTCAATTACTTTTTTTTTATAGTATAAACTTTATTGAAGTAAAGTCAATACATTTTCGGCCATGAGTTTCAATTACTCATGGGATGTTCTGCACTTATTGATTCTGCTTGTGCATAATGCTGATTCCATTTAAAATATGATTTTGCTGTTCTTCATTCTATACAGGTGATTGCGGAGCCGACATTGTAATTGCCATAGATACGTCATGTAGTGTTAAGTATTCGAACAAGAGAACAACACGTAAGTTTGTTGTCGACATCGCCAGAAAAATGAACATCGGTGATGGCCTTTCTCAGATACAAATAGGCGTGTTGACGTACAATCAAGGCATTACCCATCAGTTCTATATGAATGACGCCAAAACAAACAACGAATTGGAAGAACTCGCCAAGAATATCACGTTAAAAGAAGTCGGTTGTTGGTAAGTAAGTTTGCATACTCCGGATCCACTTGGTCTTTCACTTCCGTCTGTTCGTCTCAACCAATCGCGAATTCTAATAGGGTCAATATTGTAGTTAAAATACCAGTCATGCCCATTTTAAAGTTTCATCTCATATTGGCACAGCTCTATCTCAGTGAAACAGTTGCCACTACAAGATAATAATACAGTGCCTGACCACATGGATTTTGAGATATAATAAGTGAACCTGGAACGATTTACCACCAAAAAGCTACTTGTGGTATGAGTACCGTAATCCAACACCAAATTCGAAAATTCACAACAACACTTTGCACATATGGCGTTCGTGATCAACTATAAAACGCTTACCCCCAAAAGTACTATATATCATAATGTACCTGTTCATATAGGGGTTCGATTGATCTACATCAAATTATAGGGAGTCAGGTTACTTTTTGAGATATCAGCGTCCATTTATTGTAACTCGCGTTTGCTACCATTTACTCAATTCTGAGATGACGGGCAAACGCGTAGTAAACATGATCACGTCGGAACTATTTTGACCTACATCGCTATTTTCGTAATTCAAATCAAAGTTGAACTCCTCCTCTTTATTTTGATACCAAATAGTGGCATACTAGGTACCCTAGTAGCCAACTAAGGCGTTATTTAGAACAATACCACAGGTTTTTAAATGGACTATATAGGGGTCATACCATTTGGCGGATGGATATGGAACCTCATACCTTGTTTCAGAAAATTGTTTTCTTTATTAATCTCGAAAATCACTCCGCCATCTCTTGAACTAATCTGCTTTGAACCAAATTTGCAAATATTTCCTGATAGATAAATACTATCGGGAATAAACCTCGATTCATTTATCAAACGATGTGGTGTACCAAATAGGGAGAAGGGTTTTTATACAGAAAACCGCTGGTATCTCTACTCGGAACTATATTCAAAGCTATTTTAATGTACACATTGTGGTACAGTCACGCTTGCTTTTACCGTATTTGCTGTAGGAAATTCCGTCCTCAAAATGTGTTCTTTTAACCCATGACTTGCATTTTATTAGATAAACTAGGCATCGGTACACACAAGTATCACCACTCGGTGGTTAATTTAGATCAAATAGCGTGGTGAACTTAAATACTCATTATATTTTTTAGATTATTTTTATTGGATAATCTATCTAATACAATAAAATGTATTAATAATACATTTCACTTTTCATGATTTTTCATCTACCCGATCTGGAAATTATACTTTTTCCGATGAAATCTAAAATTTTAAAGTTTTGAAACCACATTTCCAGATTGTGATTTTATGTGTAGACATAAAATAAGACATCACTTTCACCAGATTCATTAAGAATATCCAATGACAAAAAATCAGGAACGTGTCATTTTGAAAATAGTCTACTATATCATGGGAATAGTCATGTAAATTAATGTACCATTGTGTTGGAACTTTATTTAAAATAATTTCGATAGAATTTATTTATTCTATGTTTTTTTCCTAATGGGCAAAAGCTGTATATTTGAAATATCTAGTTTATGTAGGAACCTCTCTTAATTCGGTACTAAAGATATTACTGATGTATATTTAAATCTTAGGACACACACACACACGGCGTTAAGAGAAATGCGCACGACATATTTCACTAAGGAACATGGTGACCGGAAGTCTGCTCCAAATATTGGAATACTCATGACTGACGGCCTTACAGCTGAACGAGAATACCAACCTGATACTCAAAACGAGGCTGCGGCAGCCAGGGCAGCAGGTAACAACTAAAGGGGGATACCCCATAATTCATGGATGAACCTGCATGAACTAATGAATCTCTTGCGTTTCATATTCACATGGTGATAGATACATCTTTGCATTCTGTGGAATTACCTCTTCAGCGCCCACCTGTCGAGAACAGTCTATATTCGCTCATGCATAAAATAGTATCACTTAAAATCATATGATATCCTGTAGACCTGTAGTAGAGTGTTCTTGGTACTTTAACTTAACCATGATGTGAATCTGGTAATGAGATTTGATAGTTATATTTATTAAACAATTTTTCATCTTTGTTTTTCCAGTATTTGAAATTGTTATTAATATAAATTATTTTCAATTGATTTCTTGGTACTGATTTTAATTCGACGAACCTTTATTTTGGTGCCTCGATTTTGTTTTTAAAATATCGATATGATATAGTAAGACTCTACACTTCTCTCTTTAGCCGAGCTAACCAAAAATAAGGTACATCGAATCACATTGTTTTTTACAAAGGAATCGAAATGTTTGCCATTGGCTTGCCGAGCAGAGCGAAAGATACAAAAGAGCAAGCGCTAGCCGAGTGGAGAGGAATTGCTAGTAAACCGACAGATCAACATTTCTTTCGTATGCAATCATTTGACAAGCTAACTTCAATTCTGGAAGATCTCACAGAAAAGTTATGTGAAGGTATATCATGTGCAATTTCAAGGATTTTCAAGTAGAAAAGTAGATTGTTATATATTTATTAAAGCATTTCGATATTTACTCTAAATCCTGGTTTTATTTTCTGTATAAACAGATTGAGATTGTGATATCTAGCTTTTATATGTTTTCAAGAATTTTTTGGAATGTTCATATTCACCAAGTTTCAAAAAAGTGCTTTTTATATTTGTCCAAATTATAAGAAAATCAAAAGATAATCCTGAAATTGATAGTGTGAACATTATATATACAGTTATAATCTAATATTGTAATACTGTTGCAAAACGTTAACTTCATCATTGGTAAACAATATACTCGTTACACGGTGACTAGGGGTGGTGGACTTCTGAGCTGACATTTGATTAAGCACTGAACGGAATGTCACAGTAATATAACCAGATACGTTAATATGAAATTCTTTTAAAGTTTTTACAAGGACCTGTTTTTATATTGTTTCCTTAAAAAACCACGCCTTATTTAAACGTTTTTTTCCTATTTGAACATAAAAGCTTCCAAGCGGTATACAATATCCATATTTTGAAATCAAGTAACTTTTATTTACTTTTGATAATTGTCTATTGTGCTACATATTACAATATGTCGACTTTGCAGTTGAACTGAAGTGTACGTCTTTTGAGTTCACGTGTGGGAACGGCAGTTGCATCGACGCTGAATTACACTGTAACGGAGATGATGACTGTGGGGATGACTCGGATGAGGTTAATTGCACCACACGTATGTACATTTTTAACTTAGTCGAAAATATAATATTTCTTATTGAAAAAACATAGCACTTTATATTAAGGAATTATAACTCCACGCGTTGGCTGATACACCCGTGTTATATAGCGCATGGATGGTTTCAACTTAAATTATCAATATTTGTAAAAAACAAATTTTTCAAATCGGAAATGGTAAATTACATGAATTCAAAAGGAAAATGACTAAAGTAGAGTAACAACTTATATAGAATTCTCTTTCGTTTTGTTTAACTGTACGTTTATGATTTGGCATTATTTAGTTTCGTAATCTCTACCAACCACCCCACCTTTTTGTCTTTTTAGCCACAACTGAGCCATCATCTACGGACATACCAATGTTACCAAATATTGTGTTGTATGACGATATGGGTAGGTTGTATTTATTATGTACAATGTGAGTAAACTCATCCATTCTCAATTGCTGTATACATAGTTTTTGATTCTCGGTGAAATCTCGTTTTATATGAAATTTTAGGACATTGAATTCAACAACTATGTACATTTTTATGTCATTATGGTGACATATTACTATAGTCTTTGATCTCCAACTTTTTGTGGATCGACGTACAGCGTCTGTAACAAATGACAGGTGCTGACATTTTGCATGTTAATGCCTTGCTCGCCAAGTTTACATATACATTAATTGTAGTTATTTTATAGTGCACCAAAACGCTTGGTTTACATTCTAAGATATGGAAAAATAATGACAAAAATATCGTACAAAGTCAAGTTGAACTAAGACGCTTCTCTGTTTCGTCCTTTCATAAAATTTTTGTTAGATTCATACTCAATGTTTATACCAAACTATTTCTCATTTCCCTTTTGTTTTTGTGCATCTGCATAGCTTAACATTCGCATAGATCGAATGCTAATTTGCAAAGCATGTTCAATGTTTATATTTCTAAATATAACATAAATGTTCACACGGTAGCCAAAGAGCGCGTTAACCTACAGTGATTTATTCAACTATTTATTTATATCTCTTACCACGTGTGAACATTTGTGTAATTTTCAAAACGGTTCAACTAAAAAGCTCTTAAACTTTTATTTATTTGGCTACCCTCACCTCGTATTTTATGAGTAATGTGAAATTTGAGAAATGTGTTTATGAATTTCAAAATGAAAAGTACCAGCGGTTAAGCTGCACTTTTAAAGAGTAGTTTTACATGGTACAGTGTAGAATTGTGGTTCTCCGGGGATTAGTTCTCTTCATTATAACTACGGTCAGGACCTTCAAACCTTCCGCTTGTATTTTGATTCGTGTATTTAAAGCAATTGTAAAACTCTGCATTGTAACTAATTTTGACGACGGTATGCGTGTTTGTTGTTGACCTAACGCCCTGACTAAACTAGTTCTCAACCGTTCTTTCCCGTTGTACAAAAAGTCGTAACTAATTACTATAGCTACTTCGTTCATAAACAGTCTTCAATACGTCCACCTCATTCGCAATTCGTTCAGGTTGCACCATTAGGTTCGTTGACGGACCTTACACGGGCAATTTACCTCCGTGCAAATACGTTCAAAACAAGTTTAATCGTTCTTAAGGACCTAAACATAATTTCTAGAGGTTTAAGAAATTGCAAGAGCCTTTTTCATTTCTAAGACCCATTCGTTTTTAGTAGGTTTAATGTATTGAAAACTGCCAAAGAACGAACAAGCATCATATCATCATCCTATGACATTTGAGGGCCTCTGCCCTGAGGGTTCGTAACTGTAAATTGGAATATGCAACATCAATGTTAAATTGTGTTGTAGATCAAGAGGAACTTGAACCAGCTTGCAACAATGGCTCGTTTTCATGTGATAATGATACCAAGTGCATCGATCCGGAGTGGCAGTGTGACGAACTATTTGATTGTGACGACAAAACTGACGAGGCTAACTGTCGTAAGTGTCAATCAAGAAATGTTCTTAATTGATATTCCTCATGTATGTGTAAATAGAGTGTTCAATGCTGAGAGCATTGGTATACTTTTACGGAACCTTAGACTTTGTTAAGACGTCTCTAATCATTTTTGTGTTTTTGTGTGACCTTGTATCTGTTTCTCTATTATATACATGTACTATGTACATTTGCTATCCATCATCCATTTTATTTAATAAAAATGCAGTAAGTACAATAACCAAATATGAAAATCACAATTGGAAAAAATAGTAATAAAGGCAGCTATAAATAAATAATTTTCCAACGGAAACACGCATTCCGGGTCGGACAAAAACATCATATTACTATTCTAGTATTTATTTTGCATTTCAACAATATTTTCACTAATAAGCGGGAATAAATTATACTATAGTTTCTTGAATTGCAAAACTATATATAAAGCAGTGTTCGAATTAGAAAGATTGAAGAAAAAAGCTACCCCAAAATTAAAATATGATTAAATATCTTGCGAGATAAACATATACTTCATGTATTTTGATATAAAACGTGTCATTTTCCAGCTTGTGCCCGGGACATCGTTTTCGTTCTCGACACTTCTTGTAGTATCAGCATGGACGATAAATCAAATGTCAAGAAGTTCGTTGGAGAGTTCGGCGAACTCTTCAAAATCGGCCAAAATGATGACGAGACACAAATAGCAGCGTTGACCTACAACGATGGGACCGAAACTCAATTCTTCCTCAACGACTCCAAGACGCATGCTGAATACGACGCAAATGCCGCTAAAATTAACTTAGACCCGATTGGATGTTTGACGAAAACGTATGGCGCCTTGTGGAAGACGCGCACTGTTCATTTTACGGAAACTCACGGAGACCGACCGGAAGTGCATAACTCCGTTGTACTGATTGGTGACGGGTTAACAGCGCCTAATGGTAACTCATGGCGCACAATCAAACAGGCAAAACTGTTGAAGTCTGGAGGTGCAGAAGTGTTCATGATTCAAATTACCCTAAGGAAGAAGTATCAGAGCCCAAAAAAGGTAAAGATTGCCGCAAAGGAGAGACAGGAAATACCAAGTGAACCAATTGAGGAGCACGTTTTTGAAATGGACTTGGACGATCCTGCTGCTGTTGAAAATTTGATTGGTGAACTGAAAAGCGCGATTTGTTCTAACGCGTACTGGGAAGAAAGATGAGTATTGCTAAAACCAGGCACAGTTAGACAAAATGAGGTCGCTGAGCTGACCTATAGGTATACCCAACGTAATATCCAGGATGAATGAGCATTCAGCTAACAGTTGATCATCGTTCTCTCCATCCCATGATTAATAAAGTTTCAATGTACATACCGGAATTTCTCGCCAATATTCCCATGGACGTTCATTTGACATGTTTGAGACATAACATAACATTACACATAACATGTAATACCCTATTTCGTTATTGTGATAATTTGATAACTGTAATTATACATCCCGATTTTTCTGAAATAAGAACGCGAAGGAAATATCGGCGTGCTTGGTTGTAAGGGTAAGCCTCTAGAAAATTCAGATGCTATCCATTGTTGACATTTTGATATAATGTGTATTGAGGAATTAAAGAGAGAATCAGATCTAGCGAGCAGGCCAACAAAAGGTTGTTTCAATTTTAGAATATTTCTGGCTCATGTCATTCCTAATCATGTCTATTTTCTAAATGTCCCAAAAGCGCACGCTTTATTTCAGGAAAACTGAAGATTTTTACGGTAGTGTATTATTTTTCTATTAGAATGGTTACCATTCTTCTTATTTGGGAAATTCAAATTTTTTCACCTAATTTTGCACTATTAATCCATGATAACTTTATCAATTTATAACAAATCGCGAATCTTTTGGGAGATATTGTATTTGAGACTGTAAGGAATAGATTGGTAGGCCAATTGTGCATGTTGCTAGTGATTTTGTCACTCACGTTAAGTAGTTTATAGCAATGTATGAGACAGGCGAGGAATAACACATATTGTTACAGAACAAATGAAGTCACTCTCAAAAGTATGTTGACCTCATATAAAATATATTATAGTAACTGGCTACAAAAGGCTCTAAATGCCACGTCATTTCGTGAGATTTGACACTTTAACCATATTACAATGTAGAAATAGAAATATCAAAATGAAATTAAGAACAATTTCTTTAGTTATGAAATTATCAATTTATTAGAAATGCAACATATTATTCAAGAGCTGATAAGTATATGCTGATTATATTGTATTCATACATTTTTCGATTATGGTAGAAATATATTGTACATTTCTCAATCATGCTTCTCCTTCTATAACTATTAAAATACAAATCACATGATATCAACTACTCCATTTTATTTTATTGTCGTGTTCAGCTTCACTGTTTATTGACAGATACCGGAGCCTTGATATCCCATACGTTTTGCTTTTATACAACACTTTTCAATTAATATAATTTATTAAGATGTGACAGAGTTAGAAAAATGATACCATGTAAATTTTTATTTTTCTGTACCCTTGGTTAACCTTGGCTATTTCTGGAATTGTGTAATCAAACTTTCGGATAGCCCTTTAATCACCAGCCAATCAGAACCATTGTAGTTGCAATCAAGGGTAAAAACATTCTTCAAAGATAATTGACAGTGATGAACATCATATGTATAAGCCCTTTATTTAAATAAAATTTCAAATTTCCAACATGTGGTCGATGAATCAATAGGGAGTTTAACCCTTAAATGTTTTTGTTTTGTTTTTTACACCCTCTAAAGGTTTTTGGGGTCCGTTTAGACCCCAAGATATATTTTGCAACTACTTTGCAACCAGAAAAGCTTTTTTCTTTCTGACTTCAGGATTACCTTTCAGAATATGTATGCATTATTTATCATGAATGCATGGAAATATGTGTAAACCTAATCATAAGGGTCAAGTGTTTTAGCATTTTGTAACATTTCGTAGCATTTATGTATAGCACTGTATTAATTGAATATGTTTCAGTGATAGTGATGATCTTTGGCCTCAAGTAGCACAAAAAGTCATAATGCGATTTATATCTGGTTTGTTTTATCAGAAAGGAATTGCATTAATTGAGGATTAGATGGAATTTCATGTTGATATAATGATTATTTCTGATATTATTATTGCAAAGAATGAGCTCTGGGGTCCAAACGGACCCCAAAAACCATTTAAGAGTTCATTTTGCAATGTTTTTCACAACTTAAATGTGAAGGGAAATTATTTAAGCGATGCATTTTGTATGGGCGATTGGCCATACGTATAGGTTGGCGTTTCGATTTTATATGCAAGCTTAAACTTTCTACTGTAATACAAGCGTTGGTCGTCAGTCTATCCCGCTCATCCCAGGAAACAAATATAGTTTCCTCCTGAAGGAACTGCTGGAGGTAGATGCTTGTTTGTATTCGCTTTTCGTTGTTCTTGTTCCAGCAATTGCCACGAGGTTGTTGACCTAAAAAGGAGAATAAGATACACCGGGCGATTGAGTGATTCTAGAATGACACAATTGATGGATTTTGTGATATGTGAGCCAGGCCATGGGAAAAGACGTCTTATTACAGATTTCTCTCAATATTCTAATTTTTTGTTTATCTTAAAAAGCACAAAGTGATCTTTCAAATGAGCCATGGCTTATGTCTCAATAATTTTTCCTAGACCAAAAAGTTGGATTTGAATTTAGCACAATTTCTCTTAATCTTGGGCACATCTATGGCTCTCCAGCCCAATTTAAAGTGTTGTGATAATACCGATTTTCCTGTGGCCAGGCTAACATATTAACGTCTGTGATCAATTTCACCGATTCTAATTTTCAACTGATCTCTGTTGTCAAATGGAGAATGCATATCATAACCGTGTTATAATATTATATTATTTTGCATTACTGGTATATTATATTATATGATATTATATTGATTATATATCACAGTGTGTTCCGATTAACTGGAATGTGATAGCATGCCTTCATGCGATGTATGAATGATTCTTTACCTGTCTAAATAGGTCTAAAATCTCCATACGATGGGCACACTTTGCAAACACGTATACGATAGCTTGTATGAACCAACTCCCATCTTCTGAGTGGCGCCAGGCCGCCATTCCTATAAAAAAGTAACAAGTCGTACACTCCTTTCCTTTACTTTGGCAACCGGAGGTTTTCCATCCTCCGGCTTCAAGATCAAGAATATCTTCTTTCACTTTCCCCAGCGATAAACAGTTAGCATATCCCCGGTAAAGAACTCACAATCTGATTCCCTGTCACTTCATTGAGACAACCAAACAAATGATCTCTTTGAAAAAATTGGTCAATTTGAAGAAAGTTGAAAAAATACCTTTTTGAACTTTTTTGACCTTGAAAAGGTCATCAAAGGTCAAATCTTAAATATAAAGTCAGATTTGAATTTTTGGAAACATGTAGATGATTTTGAAAAAATTTAAATTGAGTCTAAACAGTTTTTGTTAAGTTATTGGAATTTGCAAGAATTTGACACAGACGCCGATCGCCAACCGCCAATCGCCATCCCCAGAAGAGACAATCTCGTTATTACTGTTTTCAACAGAATGAAGGATCAACTAAAAGGTGCACGTAATGAAAACAATGCAACAACTTTCAACTGCAGTCCAAATGTTTTTTTTCTGATGGCTTCAGAGCACAGTTTCAACAATATGTTGAACGCCAGCAACTGTACCTAAAACATGAGGGAGAATATTTCCAACAACTTATGGGATAAAGGTTTTGACTGAATATTTATAGGATATCCTTTGATTTTGAGAAATATCATTTTTATCTTCGAGGTAATATTGATATCTGCACGAGAGAGCGATGAGACCGATTAGATTAAAATGATATCCTTGAGAAATCATAGGATGTTCTTTAACACTTACTAGAATAACATTGAAATTGCCGGGAAACTGGTTATTCATTTTACTAATAGGTATCATTTATTTCTAATGTTATATACATTTAGTACACTAAGTGTCGGATAATAATTTATATCACGTATAAGTCATCAGCGCTAATTAGATCACGTGATTCAGTTTAATCGAGCGTTTTCAAACTGGTTATATCAGGGGCAAAAGGAGGTAAGGATTCTGGACACCTGGATGGAGGTCTTCATTAAAGGCCCCATGTAAAGTTTAAACCACTTTGGCTTATATTGTAGTCTTACCCAATGTTATCAAAGTGTGATATGTGAAACTTTTTTTTAATTTCAAAAAGTGGTTTTTGATAGACTTTTTGTTCCAAAATTTGTAAATTTATTTAAAACCAACTTTTAGAGGTCACTCATATCTTCTAATTAGCCACAATTCATACCAATGCATAGCATTCATCCTCCCATGTTTTTTGCCGAAAAAATTAAGAAAATCGGTTGATAAACAAGCGAGAAATGAACTTATCAGTGCATGAAAATGCTTCTGAGAAAAATGCATTTCAAAATTATAGTTCTCATAGAAACCAATGGTACAATGATATCTAAAACATAATTTATTATTCCTTTTGACCTGGTTAGACAATCAACATTGGTTTTTTATGAAAGTCTAGCATATTTAGAAAAGATTTACATCGAAAAAAAATGTTCAATTTTTTTCAAAAAGTTTTTATTACCTTAGTGACATCACTAATGTTTCAAAATATTTTTGATATGCTAAAATATTGAAGTGGCCCATTAAATATGGCATTTTATTATTGAAATAGTGTGTCCTTTGTTCAATCTTTGCATTGGTGTTAAAAAGATAATCTTTTTTGAAATGCATTAAGAAATATTTGATGATAAAGAAATTTCAACTTTTTTTGAAAAATGGCGGGAAATTTGAATATTCGAGAAATGAAATGCTCACAACTTTTTTTTCAAATTTTTTTTTTGTTCAAAAATCTCTAAAATCACTTTTTAAGTCCTGACAAATAGTAAATGAATGATAAAAAATATTTTCAAACTTTAGACGGGGACTTTAAATAGTATATCAATGCTAGTGAATGTTTGAATCTAAAATTTGTTCCATTATTTCAATTATTTCGCCAGTCATACACAGACTTTGGTGAGTGATTACGTTATAGTATGAAAACTATTCTAATCAAGTGACACAAAGAGAAAATAGATTGCTTGTCGTGACCCCTTCGTGACCTTGACTTCCAATAGATGACAACTACCTAGAATTGGTTTGACAATCTGTACCTTCTGTCGTAGCATTAGCAACTAACGTATCCGCATAAGTTGGCAAGCTAGTTGGAGACGATTGCATCGATTCTGGTGTACCATCAACGAAGTCACCGCCATCAACGGGTGGCTTCGAAATTGCTGATGGGTCCAACGATTCACTGGGTTCAGCACGACCTCCTGAGGAAGACGATGTGGATCGTTCAAAGCTATGGTCGAGGCAACCCTCATCCCTTTCCTCTGTAAAATGAAATGGCACAAAAATGTATACGCAGAACCCTATTTTTCTCTTTCGGAATAAATGTTCAAAAATAATTGCCAAAGCTAGTCAAGAATGGACATTCAAGAACATGCATTAGCCTTGCCTAAGTCTGTGTCTTTTGTATTTTTAAATTTTATATATAAATTGAAGATCAAGATAAGTAGAAAAATACCGGCTTAGGCAAGGTTACCCAGGTTTATTAAACTCTATATTACATGTAGTGACATGTTTTATTTAATTACACAACACGTCTGGTATACTGCGTGATGCATGGTGTGAATATAAAATGAACGAATTATTTTGTAGTTTTATAGCCATATATGTTTTACAGAAATTAGTTCACGAGTGGCAATTGACAAATAGCCCGCGAAGTAATAAGGATCGATATACCTCCTTGACATGCCTGTACTATGAAAATTTTGGGTTTCCCACTCAACGCTTTGCATTTGCAGAATATGTCTTTTATTTCCTGTACGGATATTTCATCCTCGTCGACCCCTATCACCATGTTGCCGGTTGTTCCATGACTAAGGATGGCACATATGAAGGAGCTACAGTCATAGAGTTCTTTCAGTTGTTGACTTTGGTGCTTCAGTTTAGTACGAATTTCCTTTATATAAAAAGTACTAATAAGTACTAATACTATGATTTTAGTATGATGTTGCTCATACAGAATATTAGTCAATTTAGGAGGCAAATGGGGTAAAAATGGAACAGACAAAATAACTCAACTACATTTTGATATTTTCTCTGGTCAATTTTCTTAAAGGAGTGGTATCGATATGGTGAATCTTTTTGAACACGCGTTTCTCTTAAACCAGTCATCAAAACATTCTGAAATTTTTACACATCGTCAATTTAATGGTCATCTTTGGAATGGTAACATTATAATTTGAATTATATACATATATTTTTCTCTAAATTGTTTTAGAAAACACATCAGACACTTCTTTCGTTCTTGGTATCATATGTTCAGAATAAAATGAAACATCTATCCGAATCGCATTGGAACAAAACGACATAAACACAAGGTGTTTAGGTCTCTCAATATTGTAATTGGAAAAAGGAAAGTTTGGTTGATTTTAAAAAAGTATCTTGTTAATGAAATGAAAGGGTTATCTTAATTTTTATCTATTTTGGGGGTTTTTGTTTTAAGTTTTTGCATACTTTTTGTCAAATCAACCAGAATTTCCTTTGTATAACTATAATATTGTGAGGTCTAAGGAAATGTTGTATATGCTATTTTGTTCAACAAGGTTCGGAAAGACATGTTATTTCATTTTCAAGAATTGGTAGAAATGAACAAAAAACAATTGCGCTAAAAACAATTTAAATAATTTTTGCATTAAATTGTTGCCAATCAGTCAACATTACATAAAGGACCGTGTTTTTTACAGAGTGTTTTCAATAATTGGTTTAAGAGAAAAACATTGTTGAATTCAGTTCACCATATCGATACCTATACTTTTAAATTGTTTGAGTCAATGTATTGCTTCAAAATGTGTACATTCTGCATCCTGGAAATCCCGAGAATGCTAGTTACACGTCGCACGAAACAGGGGACAATTAGAGTAACATTATGGCGTCAAAATACCAAAACAATACAATGGCCAGTAAGGGCGCAATCAGCATTATAACGTCAAAAACGACAAGCGTTACATTTTGTCAAGTTTAGTCAACCTAAAAATAAGATGCTTTATTCTTATTCAATCCTGGTGAAATTCACAGAGCAAGAAGATCTCGAGGACAATATTTCTAAAATGTTTTTGATTTTTGAAAAACGGTCAAGAAATCCACTCGGGGCGTTAGTAAAAATTGATATGTATGGGATTTGTGGTAAAAATCGATGCGTTACATTTTTTCAAGTCTCTAAAAGCAACTCTTATTCTCTTATTATTTGAAAAATAAAGAAATCGGTTATTGTTTTGTAAATTTCGCCATGACAATATTGTGCAGTTAATTTTTTTTTGAAATCAGACCTAAATTAGAAGGTTAAATAAAGGTAAACTTATTGCTTGTCTCCTTCGCCTTCAAAACCTTACACAATTTTGAAAATCTTAAAAGCGTTCATATAAGACGATTTGAACTGTAGCCGCTAGGCAATTGTGACGTCATAAAAGCACATGTTTCAATGAATAAAATGTGAAATTTTAGTAAAATTCTGATCAGTATTTCAAAAGTTATTCCGATTTCAACGAACCGTGTAAGCGTGAAATGTTACGCCTTACAGCGTATCTGACGATGTCGGAGTACATTTAACTTTAAAAATATGGTAGATCCCATCATACTTTTCAAGGAAAAATAATTTCAGTGAAATGCGAATAAAAAATACTTCAAAATGATATATAATACACATAGTTAACTTTTTAAATAAGGCAGATATTAACGCTTAAAGCTGAGATTAGCCCGTATTTCCCGAATTGTCCCCAGGTCCGTGCACGTCATAAGTTGATTTTCTGATTTAGAACCACAGCAATATTTTTGTTTATGGTGATCTTTGCAATTAAAACCCATTCTAGTTGGCCATTTAAAGATAATAATACGTACATGTACCATCGCAAAGCTACCTGTTTCAGAAAATTATTCTGCTCTACATAGTCTCGAAAATCACTCCGCCATTTCTATAAATTATGTTTCTAACCAAACCTAGATTTATTAATCAAAGTCTAAATGGCTCTGCAGCTGGCCAGAAAAGGAGAAAAACATTATTATACAGGAAATCAAATTACCAGTATCCCTTCTCAGAACTATGGGCACTTACAGTGGCTGTCAGATTTTTCCAATTTTTCAATGGCAGTACATCGAACCCCATCTGCAGAAAGAGCTCACGAAGACTGTTAGCGTCTCGGTCGGTTCCTTTTCTATTTGCCTTCTTGACAAATTCTTCATTGTTGATAACTATGACTCTTCCTTTGCATGGAGCATTCATCGGATAGGACTATCGTGATTGAAATATAGTGTTAATATGCAGAAAGTCTACAGATGGGCCTTTTCCATATTTCTACCCGATATAAATGTGACATAACTCTGTTTCTCCTGCACACAATATGCACAATAGTTTCAAGAGGAACTCTTAATTACAAAATGCAACCAGTAAACAGTGCTTCTGATGGAAAGCATCCATGATGTTTGCATCGCCTATTTCGGATCCTTATATGCACCTGAGTGATATTCACAAATAACGCCATATGGTTAGACAAAAATCGTGTATGGCCTGGGGCCTGGGTAATACCCATTATATAGATCGTTGTTAATACTTACATTATTTCCTCCGTTAAACATAGGTCTGCACGTATTTTGGTCGCACAATTTCATGTTCATTATTTCACTCAAATAACCCCAGTCCTTCAATGGCCATTCTAAAAGAGAACAGTGTGTACCTTTAGAAAACTTAATTATTATATTATAATACAAACACCGCTGTATGATATAACTAGATAACAGCAACGCCAAAGCGTAGCAAATCCCATCGAACAGCCATGGCTGGCATTTTTACAATCGAAGTAAATAGCAAAACTCGTAAAATAGCACACAAAAATGGCTACCATTTTCAAAATGGTTGCTCATTATAGCCTGATTGTCATCAGAAAGTATAATATGCTTCTAAGTAGGTACATATAAAATTTAAACAAAATCGCACACACGTTTATGTCAATGATGGCCATTTTCAAAATGGCCACCTACTTGCCAAAATGTCATAAGACAGTGTGCCATGCTTATGAGTATTCACATATCAAATAGAAACAAAATCGCTCTATTACTTTTTGAGTTATAGTAAAAAAAAACGTAGAATAACACACTTAAAAATGGTTGCCATCTTTCAAATGGCCGTTGGGATAATGAACACCGATCCCGTTTACCTGAATTTAAAGTTTACTCTGACTATCTTAAAGACAGCAGGACACCGCTCTTCTCCAAACATGTGCTCATTGAACAGTTTACAGAATTCTGTTAAACGAGGTCTAAACAGAACTTCATGGTTGAGGAGTTTGTATAACAGTGTTGAACTTCTACACATAACAGAAAAATATGCCACTAATTAGATAAATCTGGTGAACCATAATAAATTGTCAACTGCAGAAAAAAGCTCATACCGGATGGTAATTCGAACTCTTCTTCAAGTGGGGAAGATGCGGGGGAAGATGGCTGTTGGACAATTTGGACAATTTGGCCTTTCAAAGACTCCCCATCCCTAGAATCCAAACCAATCTGTAACGAACGTTGTTGTTGATTCCTCAGTTTTTAGTGCATTTAATTCTTGTTTAACCTCTTCAACTTCTTTACTTTGTTTTGCTTTACGCGCGGCAGCTAGTTCAGGCTTAACCACGTCTGCCAAGTTATACTGTTCTGTTAGGATTAGTGCGTTGTAGAATTCATCAAAGGCCTCTCGTCGAACATTCATTATATTTAGAGAGCACTTTCAAATCAATTCATTACATTAGAGAGCACTTTCAAATAAGCAAAATTGTCAACGTATTTCAGAATTACTACGCCATTGATAAAATACCTCGATATCTTCCACCATAGCCCTTGACAATGTAGATGTTGATCTCAAGTAACTTATGAACTCTTCGTTGACTATTAGATCGAGTAGTTTCACTCTATTCTTGATGAGATGTCTCTTATGTGCAGTTTCCATGCTCATTTATTCCTGGCTTCAAGATTATATAAAAATCTGCAACTTGACAAATAAAGAGTGAAGGATGAAGCAAAGGTAAGGTCGATAGAAATAATTTTTAAATAAAGATGGCATGGCAATCGATCTGTGTTCATTTATCAATACTGGATTTTGTTGGTGCTGTCATCTTCACATCAGCCCAGAACCTATGGAATAAAGGTAGTCCTACTTTACACACGTTGGCTATAGATTTACGTGCAGTTCTGCCATCTTTTAATCGTCCTTCGACATAATGCTTATTTTCCTTAAAATTAAGAATATATCACCTCATGCGATTAACTAAACACGATGGGCATAATATGAGTTCAGTAACGGTCTTATTATACTCACATGGGTATACGTATGTCTCGGGAAGATCACTTGATATCGTGTTAAAGCCCTTTCACCACGTAGGGCTAAGTGCTTAGATGTTTTGACCTACTTGTACTTGTTTCTCTGCCAGTCACCTTGTTTAAAAACCAAGGTTCGTATTGCAAAAATATCTGAAGAAAAAAACGTAATTATTCGAGATTAGAAGTCAATTAAGTTTTATAGACTAGCACATTTCAAATTGCATAATGTACTTTTACGGTCCCTCGTTTGAACTTTTTTAAACCTTCTTACACGACTGAGCCATTTTGTTTATTCTGAACTAACATCCGTGATAAAATCCAGGTACAGAAATAAATGAATAAAGTTTCCTTCCTTACCAGGTTCGTAGCCAATACCAGTGACATCCAAAATTTATTTACCTGACCTTTTTTACCTGATGTCATTTATGTTGCAATCATAAGGTTCCAAACAAAATAACAGAGTCGTTTATAGATACAGTATACTTTCAGAACTTCGATCTGGGCCTCAAATTGTAAATACTTGAACTTCGCCCGTTTTGTTAAAATACGGGGATTCCCTGCAGGTAGTCTTACTACGCGTATAAAACACATAACTGTACTATATATAGTATCACCCCATGCAGACAGATCGCCTAAAATTACATTCGTATGATGCTAGACTCGACCTGAGACTAATATACTCTTTTAGGTAACTGGACAACTCGGACCCAGGACAACTCGGACCCAGGACAACTCGGACCCTGGACAACTCGGACCCAAGACATCTCGGACCCAAGACAACTCGGACCCAAGACAACTCGGACCACTTTTTGAAATGATGATATTAACATCATAATATGGGGTTTTAATTTTTGTCTTATGTTTAGATGACATATATTATGTACTGTGCATTCATTTATTGTGTTAATTTGATGAAATTGTTTTAAATCAACTTATTATTTGATGATAGTTAAAAAGAAAATATTGAAGCTAAAGACCCAAGACAACTCGGACCACTTTTGAGATTATGATTTTTATCATGATATGTTTTTTTATTTTTTTTATTTTATGTTTAGTATGACACATTTTGAATTCAAATATTGTGTTAATTTGATGTAATTGTTTAAAATCAACTTAATTGATGAGAATTAAGAAGAACATATTGTGGCGGGAGTTATTTAAAATGAAATGTTTTTCACCAGTATGAAATCAATATGGTCAAAATAATAAATACTGGAAAGAATGGGCCGAGCGGAAACCCCGTTAATTAAAAATAAGGCACTGGAAAGATGATGTTGTGGCTTCGTCTTGTGTATGAAAGGATTTTGTATCGCTCTAATGGATGGAGTAATTTACTAATTGATGAGATTGAAATAACTGGACAAAAGAAATGAGCTGAACTTTATAACAATAAACAATAAACTTTATTTACCTTGTAGGCGTGTAAGACATGATGATTTCTGTGAATGTAATCGAAGTATAAATCCAATTATAAATCCAATACTAGTAAATCCAGTTACAAATGATCGTAATTATAATCCAAAGCCTTTAAAATCCAAATCTTATGTAAAACTTGATCAGATACCGAAATATTCGTATACGTATTATCACTTTCAGATACAACTTGAGACTTTTTAAAAATGGAGAAATTGAACCTCCTATCTCAGATACAAACTCAGGACTGATCGTCCCGGAGAACGATTATGAGAACATTAAAATAACGGAACATAACTTTCCATATATGGAAAGGCTACCATAACAACGGGTTTAATTGCTCGCTACATTGTCAAAATATCTGTCACATCAAAGACTAATAAACCTAGCGCTAGCCTGTCAATCAAATTACTATGTGGGAAAGTTTGAAAAAGTGTCGGCAAAATGCCGTCAGAAATATAAAACTTGACTGAAAATCACTCTTTTTAAATTACAATATCTCCTAAAGTATGAGATCAAATTCAAAGTTTAATACACCGTTTAAAAGCTCAATCCACCCTTAATTTAAGAAATAATTATTATAATTTATGGACAAATACTCTTCTCTATATTTAATGAGAAAGAACATGAGTAAATAAGAACTGAAATCATGTGTGCCAAGCGGCCGGGAATTAAATAAAACCATACGTTTACACTAGTTATTTAAACTTATCTTACTCAAAAACCATTATTCCTTTTTGCATGAAATAAAAATGAATAAAACGTTAAAAGAATGTTCTTTTTAACGATGTTAAATGTTCCATGAAAAATATGAGAAATAAGCATGAAATTAATTAATGAAAATAAATAAATATAAAAATTGTGCTCCCGCTACACATCCCCCAACTTAAGAAATATGTATGTCCTCATACATGCATGGTTACACAAAGAGGAGCAGGCGGAAAACAATTTTTATCAATTTGCAAAAATGAGTAACTCTTAACTCAGCTATACAAGTTTTCCTCAAGAGCAAAAATATCTTAAGTTTTACAAATGAGCAAAGAGCAGATTATCCTTTACTTTAATCTCAATATAACTATTTCAGAAGTTTTCCAAAATCTACTCAAGTTAAGCTACGATGAGTAGATAAGACAAAAAGGAGAAACTCTGAAAATATTATGTTACAAGGTAGTTGCTCATTGAGCTGAGCCCACCTTATACTCTGGAGAACACAAAGATTTTACCAAAACTGTTCTCCTTAAACAAATACAAATATTTACTGAAGCCATCATGGCTTACACTCTTACATAGAATACTATTAACTAAAATGAGCTCAAGAGGAGAATAATTTTCTCATATTTTATCATTTTTCATGAACACATTATGAGGAAAATATTTTCTCCAAAATGAGCAGATACAAACACATTACTCTAAGTGTGAAAACTTCAACAAAACTTCAGTTATATGAGGCACATGTAAATGTTACTCTTCAGTTCCATGAACAGAGTTATCTTTCATTACAACAATGGAACATTAATTATCTTTCTTACTCATTGAGTATGCTCCAAACTAAAATAACTCCAAAATATAAATGAGGAAAATATTTTCTCAAAATGAGGAGAATGAGAAGTTTCATGAGTTTTACTCCTAATATCAAGAGGAGAAGGTAAATTGTTACAATCCAAATGCTTTTATCAAATATGCTCATGAGCATTTTCCAAAAACTTATGAAAAATACATGCTCACAAAGTAATAAGCAACAAATCATCAAAAGTAAATGAATGAAAATATTTTTCTCATTTTCTACTCAAACCACTCCAAAAATACAATTGAGGAGAATGAGGAGAAAACTCATAATCTAGGAAAATAACTAAAAAAATTTCAAGAGCAAGTAAAAGTTTCATACCAAAAACATCATAATAGAATGCTCCTCCTCAATTTACTAATGAGCATCCTCCAAACTCTCCAGAACAACTTACTTTAAGAAGATAAATATAAAATGGCAAACGATCAACACTCAATAACTGCTCAAATGTTCTCTTTTAAACTTCCTCATATTTAAAATGTATTCTCATTAGAGAAAAAGTTTATGAAAAAGTTCTCACAAGCAGGATAAGAGAGTGACAAATCATAAAGTACTCCAAAATACAGTATAAATGTTCAAATTATGTCAACAAAATGAGAAATCTACTTTTTCTCATGAGAATACATCAAAAACACCAAATGTTTATCATTACGCCAACTTAATCTTCTGCAGTTGCTCCTTCACTTCCGGTTGACTGGCGGTAATATAAAGTCTCTGGACCAGTTCATACATATTATCCATATTGTTCTCACCTAACTCCTTCTCTGGAGCAGATACATCCTCATATATGTCATTGTTTATATCCTTGTCATGGTTTGATGTTTTTCCCAATGGGACTTTATGGTCTTTTTTAGATACAGTGTCATTGTCACAATCAGAATCATACACAACATTAGATCTCTTGTTCTCTCTTTTCGATTTTACTGAGTCTATCTGCTCTTCACTAGTGTCTTTAGCATGTTTCTTTTTGGGTTTCTTCGAGTCTTTCCTTTTAGGTGCGTCTGACAAATGTGACATTTGGAAATGACGTGTCAGATTATATTTGGTGGAAAATGTTTTATGACATATATGGCATTTGTGGCACCTACGCTCAATATCAGAGCTACTGGCATGTATATCAATAATATCAGGTAAGCCTTCATCAGACTCTCGATCCACTTTCTTATGAGCTGAAGATGTGGAAGAGAGTATCTCATGCCTTGTCACAGGCTGTGAAGTGTTAGACCTCCCACTAATCGAGTCAAGTTCATCAGTCACAATCTCTGGCGCTGATGTGGAAGTGGCATTTTGTTGGAGTACCGTCCAGTAGGGGTTCATCATAGGCATGGAAGACATCGGGGGTACAGCCCAATATGGGGAAAGGTTTGGGGAGAATTGCGAGTAATCAGGCCCTCTTTTCCTTGCAAAATCAAACCGACGCTTCTTTCTATGACCCCTGGAAATAAAACATGGCAATTCAGATGATGATGAGGAAGAGGATGAACTTTGAGCATCCACATCATCTTGAACACCACAAATAAAATCCTCAAAATGTTTAGGTGTTCTTTTAATTCGTTTTGACTTTCTTGAGTCAACTTTTTTCATGCTCCTTTCACACTCTGGAGGAGTGTCCTCTACCTTAGGAGGAGGAGGAGGATTTTTCACTTTAGGGAGCATTG